ACTACAGTGCCAATGATCATAACAATAATGAAGGTACATGCCACCTAGTGCATTAGTGTGGCTCAGTTATGTGTTTTGATAGCATTGTACAACAAGGGAGCTCTCTGACATAGAGGAAAAGGAATATCAGGCTTTGGCTACACAGACAGCGTTTGTTAAAGAAAATATGGAATATGTCCAGATTTCCCTTTAATGGAAGCATACCAGCAGAAATGGGATCACTAAATCAAGTAAATTCATTTTAACACAAAGTAATTCTTGGAACAGGCAGAGCCTTTTGAAACAGATGAAAAATCTGATACGTAATGATGTTTTATATAAGATTATGTTAGGAATCTTTGTGACAGAAACTCTGATTTCACTAGAAATATCTCAGAAGAGCGACATCCAAAAGCCCCGCTGATCATACTCATCTTCTTCAGCAAAAAAACACTGAAGTGAGTCCACAGTAAAATATCAGGCACCCGGGTGCCTCACAGCGTGATTTAATTCAAACACCTGCATGTCAATAAGCAGAGAGAGGGGGAAAGAAAAGATCTAAATGTTGAAGGAGACTTGCTGCTGCAGTCGGCCTCTCAAACTGGTGCTAATAATGACTGCTAATGCCAATAATGTGCAACATGTTCACAACTGAAACTGTTTAACATTTATATACTGTAAATGACACGTGAGAGATGGGCTGCTTTTAAGCCCAAAACAAATAAAAATTACAGCTAGAAAGATCAACAAAAATTTATCTGCAACTATTTTTAGAATTGATGAACTGTTCATTTAATTTTCAAGAATAAATGCAGAACATTTCCTAATCCTGGCTTCTCAATATAAGTTTTGCTGCTTTTCTTTTTCCTTTGTGAATTAAATTGAATATTTTTTGCATTTCAAACTGTTGGTTCGACCTGACCAAATATTTCACTCATGAATCGAGAAGACAGTCTGTGAAATAATCGTCAATGAAACAATTGTTTGAATGTAAATGAATACATTGAAGTCATTACCAACAAACGCAGGTAACATGGTGAATCAAAGATGTGGGGGAAAAAAGTTTGAAGTGCACACACATGCATAAATCCACACAAACTGAAGCCTGCAGCTCTGCATCTGATTATGTTTGTGTGATTGATCGAGCGATTACTGACTGACAGTGACTCGCTGAGTGATTGAAGATGAGCCTCATCATGCACAGAGAAGCTCTGCCTCGTCCTCACTGCTTTTACTTCAATATCCAACCAGTCTCACCAATGAGAGCTGTGTGCTCATGTAGATGTGAGATGTGTGTGCATCCAGAGGTGACTGTGTGTAGACCAATGTTTCTTCTGTCAGTGATGTATACATCTGTGCACAGACAAACAGGTAAACACATATTGCAGCTTTCCTCTTAGTAAGCGTGCAGAGGAGCTGCCATCCTTCCTAAAAGGACTTCATTGCATCTGCAGTAACAGGTTTTCCTTGTTTTCCAGCACACCATGAGAAACATTCATAGAGGAAGAAACTCAAACATAGCTA